TTTGGCAAAGAAGCTGTGTTCGTCACAGCTTCTTTTCTGCCCATCTTCTCAGAGGGGAATTGGAAACTCAGGGCCTTGAGCAAAGGAAGTTCTAGGGGAAACTTAGTCTTTTTCACCCTCCAGAGGAGGCATGGACAGGGAGGCCCCAGCACTCTTACCAGTGGAAGATGAAACATTGTCCAGCCTACAGTGAGTTTGGAGCCATGATTGGAGTTCCGAGGATACTGACATTTATTATGCCCCTAAAGTCTCACTCTCAGAACACTGGTTTCCTAGGCCATTGCTGTATTAGTGTCACTCAAGAAGTACAAGTATTAAAGTCTGAGTACTCCAGGTAGCCAGGGCTTACCCAATTTTATAATCGTCTCTATCTTGAGTCCCAGTCACAGTTCCATTCCCTTCTTTCCTCTTCCATTTCCTTCCTTCCAGGGTGCACACACCCTCTGAAGGCAGGCAAGTGACCTCTAGCTAGAGCTGAGCTTAAGAGGAACCCTATGGGCACTTGGCAATGATAACAGAACGGTTAAGAGAGATAGCCTGGAAATACACTATGTGGAGTCAAGCCCTGGTCAATTTTCTGCTAGCTGTGTGATTGGACGAGTTACTTAACTCTCTATGAGCTAGTCACTTCATCTGGTGAGGAAGGAGAGGGAATTCTTGGGAGGAGCAAATTAACGGAGCAATGTAAGCTCTGGGCTTGCATAGAAAGTCCAGAAGTGCCACATGAATTGAGTGGAAGGGATATGGGCCAAACACATAAGAAAATGTATGCTGTGTACTCTCCATTCCAACACACACACACACACACACACACACACACACACACACACACACACACACCGGGGTGGCTGGCAGGAGAGGGAGAGGAGTGAGATGAAAATGAGAGGAAGGGACAAAGACAACTATAGCATGAATGGAGCATTCAGGGAGTATGAGCGTCTCTATCACCAATTGAGAATGTAAATGATCTGTCATTGACTTCTTGTGACAGAGAGCAGGCCTTCTCTGAGACACCAGTCCAGCCTTCTTTCACATTGTAGCCTCCTGAGGCTATATGGCAGGGGATGAATGGACTTCAAAAGGGCCAACAACTTTGTTCTAGTTGATCAGAGGCCAGAGACATGCAGTGTTTCGTCACTTTTGCTTTCCTGGTTAGTATTTATTCAGGTCAGTGTTTCTAATGATGGTGTTGGGTTCTTTTGACACCCTCTGACCCGTTAAATGGTTTAGACTGTTTCTGTGTGCAGCAGGCACAGGGAGTTAAACTGGAGTAGTTAAACTAGACAGATGGACAGTGGGGGTGTGTGCGGAAGAGTAAGATAGTAGAGATGAGTCTTGTAAGCCAACTAGAACCTTTGCTCTGTAGCCTCAGTATCATGGGCCTCTAGGAGGCGCTCATGAATGAGTGTGGAGTGAAGCCATGTGTCCCTGTTATGCCAATGACCATTTTATAACTCAGCCACTATATTCCAAGGTTTTTCTCTTTCTCTCTCCTTCTCTTTTATTCCTCCCACTCCCAGCAGGATACCAGACTTAAAAGAGAACCTCAGAGAACCCATTGTAGAATTAGAGGGCATGGCACATAGTAGCCAGTGAGAGTGACATCATTATATGCACTTCACCAGAAGAATGCTGCAGTGTCCCGACTACTCTATCCTTTAGGAAACCAAAAGGACACAAAGGGACACAGCCACAGCAACTGTACCTTGCCTCTGACTATCCAGGTGGCATTATGTCCATAGTTCTTAGTTTCATCATCTGCAGAAAACAAGGAGGAGGGGGAGGAGGAGGCCTAGAACTAGGTGATTCCTTTCTAGGTCTGCTTTGGCCTTGACACAGTGCTCAGAGGCAGAGCTTGGACCTGTGGGGCAACTGCACCCTTATGTGCCCTACACCTGGCAAAATTGCCTGAATGGGCAGTCAGGTTTAAGAACAAAACAAAACCAACACTGCTGAGAACACACCTTGGCCTCACAAGCCTTAGTCACATACACCTTCTTAAACCAATACTAAGCTGTAGGATTGGGGAAATCATTCACCTCTCCAAACCTCCGTGTAACCAACTTTAAAATGGGATGACTGCCATGCCTACCTTTCTGGCTGTGGTTAATGTTAGCACACTTGCCTGGTATGTGCGAGGCCTCAAGTCCCATGCCTAGGCTCTCCAGTGTCGGCAATGCACTTGGCCTAGGACTTGCTGTTGTCATTGTCCTGGTTGTGCTCTAGATGCTGCAAAAACCCCTTAGCCACTCTACTGCAGATTGGCCCCTGTTCCCTTGCTTGCCTGTCATTCTTTCCTATCATCGGGGCTTTGAACAGGCGATGGTATCTGAGATTGCTTCTATTTTTATCCCCCACTTTCAGGTTTTTATCCTGAATCCTATTATTGTGGTGCTGTAAAAGGTAGCTCACTGGTGGAAAGAATTGCCTCTTTAATACTCTTCTCTTAGGAGATAAATAATGTGTTTTCCCGCCAGCTGAATTCAGAAATCCCTTCTGAGACAGCAGTCATAGCTGTCACCTGAGAGAGAAGCTGTGGGTCTGAGTCTGCTGAGAACTGAACTCTTGCATGGGGAGCCTGTGGGAGCTCGGGGGTAGTCTTCCCCTCTTCAAAATGTTTCCTCCATCACCAATGCCCTACTGAGGAAGCTGGCTGCAGGCCAAAGGAGGCAGGCCTTGGCCTTGCAGTCAAATAGTACTTCGAAGGGCTCAAAAGATTTAGTCCTGCCCAAAGAAGCAAACAACCATTTCTAGATGTAAATATGCTAAATGCTTAATGTCCAGGAGCAGTCCATATAGCAGAGATAGCCAGTAGGAATTTGAAGGCAAACAAGATAAATCCACAGACCAGAGTGAGACAGAGCCCTAGGGTCCATAAAATAGCCAGGTGCAGACCTAAATAGATAAGGCACAGAAATGCCACAGGGCACCGGAAAGAGATCTCTAAGCAGGCCTCCTGGTGTGATGGGGCAGGTTGTTGTGAGTAGCCTCTGGGATTGGATTTGAACTAACATAACAGGCGTGTATGTGGGCCTGAGGAAGACAGACTTTGGGGACAGACTTCAATCCTCATGTTTGTTTCCCACCACAGTTTGTGCTTGCAGTTGATGGGGACATATAGCCCCTCTGTGGTCAGCGTTGGACTGTTGAGGAGTATTTGAGATTTCTGGTTATGGGCTGCAAGACTTCTGAGTTTAGGGCGTCTGACCAATAGTGTGCGTACTAGTTTCCTGCAGCCATGATCCCAATGCACCACAAACTAGAATATCTTAAAACGCTAAGCATTTGTTCCCTACCAGGCTGAGTGACCGAAAGTCTAAATGAAGCAAGAGCAAGGCCAGGCTCCTTATACGAGGGAGGCTTCCCTGTGTTCTGTCCTCTTCAAGGCCACCTGGCTTTCCAGTCCCCACCTCTGCTGGTCTCCTTGGGTGTGTCTCTGCTTTGCTTTTCTAAGGACACTGAGTACTGGATTTAGGATTGGCCTAAGGAATCTAGGCTGATCTCATCTCGAGAGCCACACCTTCTCGACTTCCTCACAGACTCTTTGCAAATGAGGACAAGGCATAGACTGTAGGAATAAGGGTGTTGACTTATAGGCCCTTATAGGTACCAATCAGTTCACTACCATGCTCTCTGGGGGTGTACTATAGAAAAAGGAAAACAGACTTACCTACAGAAGGGAGGGCTCCAGAGGTGGTATTGTCCGGAGAAATAGTTTGCCTCCTGGCCATTCTCCCATGTTAAGTGCACTCTTGCATGTCCTGCATGCTAAGTGTGGTGCTTACCCTCTGCATTACCCGCTAATTCTCAGAAGCACAACAAGGGTATACAAAAGGCTTCTCCCTACTCTAGGCTTCAGATTGGGACCCAGGACAGCCATGGTGAGCCCTGGCCACCTTCCAGTCCTCTGTGTCCCACCGTCTTGTCTGCATTAGGACTGTCCCTTGTTGCCCTGACTCTCACTCTCTGGCTGGTATTCATCGTTAATGCAAACTAGTGCTTTGGGTAGCAGGGTCTTGCTATACATGTGGCAGGTGGCCAAGTGGCAGGCAAGAAAGGAAAGAACTGTGCTGGGCACCTATTGGCAAGGGCCACCAGCCAGAAAGTAAGGAGGGTGAGAGCCTGGGATTTGGGACTGGAAAGATGTCTCTGAGGTTAAGAGCATGTACTGCTCTTCCAGAGAACCCAGGTTTGGTTCCTGGCGCCTACATGGCAGCTCACAACCCAGAACCATGCTGCTTACCTTGGAGTCCAGCTGTACCTCTTAGCTCAACTGTGACCTCACACAGTCGGTCTCCATTCTTCGGTGACTTCTCCTGTAAAACAGAGACCACAGTGTTGTTACCTGTCATTTAGTGTTTTTAACTGAAGAATAATATCCACACACATTTACTTCTAAAAACACAAGGCAAAGCCCATGCCGACTTTTGTGCCCACATTGCTGGATTATTGCATGTATGACATCCTGATCCCCAGAAAGAACAGGGGACCCAGCCAGGCCTGGAGGTACAGGAATATCACAGGTTCACGGTACAGCTGTGCTACACAGGGTTTGAGGCCAGCCTGGGAAACTTCCTGAGACTCTGTCTGAAAGTTGAAAAAGAAAAGAGGGTGAGTGTGGAGTTTCTGCGGTGTAGCTCAGTGGCAAAGTGTTTGTCTGGCATGTGTGAGGCCCTGGGTTCGATTCCTAACGGTGGGGATAAAAAGGAAGGCTCTGCAGCTTGGGGTCAGCCAAACCCAGTCATGTTGAGTGTTCGCCATTGGGACTGGTTTGGGATCGCTCAGTCCCCAGTCTTTGCAAGGATGATCACGTGTAAAAGCACCCAAAGGGAGGGAAGCCTAAGCTATAAAGCAGCTGCACACCCAGACTTGGGGTGCTGACACCACAAATGGGGATGTGTGTGCACCAGGGTTTCCCAGTAGGAGGAGATGACTACACAGGTCTGTAAGATCCTTGCTACACTGGGACACTCACAGCCTGTTGCCTTCTTCCACAGGCTGATGCTGCTACCAGCTTTTTGAGGGCGGCACGCTCAGGAAACCTGGACAAAGCTCTGGATCACCTACGTAATGGAGTGGACATCAACACCTGTAACCAGGTCAGTGGGTGGACACGGCGCATCCTCTTGGGAGAGGGGTTCCTGCCTGGTGACATATCCTGAGAGCTTTGGAACTTGCCCTGCTGGACCCTTCCCAGAGCCTCGAACATCTCTAGGGCTTCTGTGGATATCACCCTGTACCCTTGCTCCTCCCTTGATATCCTTCCAGCCTAGGTCCCATAGAAAGCTACCTTGCCCTTCCAATGGGACCCAGACTCAGACCCAGCTGATGCAGCCTCTCCCTTAGAAGGTGCTGTGGATCCTCCTATTGCCTTAGACATCATCATTGAAAATGAGCCCTAGGCTGATGCTGGAGCAGTGGAGTAAATACCCTTTACTCATGATGAGGCCTTTGGGTCCCTGGGCATCTGGAAGAGAAACAAGTGACGCAGGAGACAACCCTCTGCTTTCAACCTCTAAGAACGTGTCCTCTTCAGGGACCTCCTAGAAGTAGAACCCATAGTGTTTGTCCTTTGGGGACTGGCCTCTTCCCATGTTGTGTGATAGAGGCTTGCTTGGTGTCCCCAACAATGGCAACAATCCCTCTGCGCCCTGCCAATCATCATGTCCCCTCCCCTCCAGACCTGACTGAAATTATAGAACACAACTGTCTCTTTCCTAGGGCTCAGATACCCTTAGGGTTGAGTTGGTCTTGTGCTGGCTGGCTTCAGTACACAACTGAGAGAGCAAGGAGGGTGAGGTAGGTGGGTTGTAGCTTGAGTTTCTTTCCAGCCCGGTCCCACAGCCAATTAGCCCCAAATAAGCACACAGAGACATAATATTAATTTATAAACTTTTTGGCTGGTAGCTTAGGATTTTTACTGGGTAGCTCTCTCTTAATTATTAACCCATTTCTATTCATCTAAGTGCTTTTACATGGTCTTATCTTACCAGAGACGGGTCCAGACCTGGTACTCCTTCCTCAGATACATGGTGTCTCACTGACTGTTTCTCTCCACATCCTATCCCCAAAATTCTCCTTGTCTAGTAGCCCTGCCTATACTTTCTGCCTGCCTACTGGCCAATCAGTGTTTTATTCATCATCCAATAAGAAAAACATATACAGAAGGACATCCCCCATCAGTCGGGGTGACAGATTAGGATATGATTGTTATTCTTCTCATGGTGGTGAACTTGGGGTGGTGGTGGTAAGAATGTATGAGCTGAAGTCGAGTTGGCAGACTAGGTGAGGAAAAGGATACTGTCATCCCTCATATTCGTCTCCTACCCAGAAAGACCCACAGTCATGCACACACAGACTCCTAAACACTCAGGGCTTGAGCCAGATATCCCATGTGGAAGTAGGAAAGGCTGACTTGAAATCAAGAGTGCTGAATACATTGCTTTGAGCAAGGAGGCAGGAATGAGGCCTGAGGACAAGGAGGAAGTATTTGTTGATGGGTCTGAGAAATAAACAGGCATCCTCCACCCCACAACCCAGAAGCATCTCTTTGGATTGAGTGAGCATCCCCAAACTCCAGGGGTCCCCAAGACTTCCTGTGTCCTAGCTTCCATGCAACTTCCAGTGGAGTCAGAACCCTAAGGAGGCCTTTCAAGGACTAATCCTCCAGTCTCAAAGGAACCTCCCAGTTGAAATGGGGGCAACTGAGTGACAAGCTGTGCCTTGTTTACTGTGGCAGTGGAGGGTTTGGGGGCATCACCATGTGGCTTCATCTTAAAGGCCTTCTTGTGTGGCAGCTGCCATCCCTAGATTTCTATCTTTATCTGTCTTTCTCTAGGTATTAGAAGATGAAAGCAAGATGTAGGCAGGCATTATTGGTGCTTTGTTGACACCCTTTCTCTTAGACTCAGCACCTGACAATGCAGGGACTCTGTGTGCAGGTGTGGAAGGAATCCTGTCTGAGGTTTCAGACCACAGACTTGGCTGCCACCAGCCCCTTCCTTTCAAAGCAGACTCTGCCTGCTACACCAAGGAAATGAAAGCTATCAGGGAATAAGATAACCCACTGCAATGCAGAGCCCACAGTCCGAGACATGCACTTGCTGTTTGCAGTTAGACACAGGCTTTTGCCAGGGACTAGGAATCCACTGAACCATGTGCCCGTGATGGCAGCAAAACACCGAGGCTTCACCCTCCCAAAAAAGTACTCAGTAAGCAGGAGTCAGGGGTGTTTGCCAAAAGAGGGTAATTACTCTAGGTCTTGTACATAGAGGAAGTTCGCTTACATAAGAGACATGCGTGCCCGGGACAGATCTATTAGTTCTTGTCACCATTCTGCTTACAGAAAAGACAACATACACACCAAAGTGCATACAGACCCACACATACACCAATGTCTTCATAATGCCTGCTTTTGTCATTTATCCCAGCATCATTGGATCTTTAGGTTTACCCCCACATCCTGTGTCTTCCTGTGTGCAGGTACATACACTAATCCTGCTCCTTTACTCCTGTGGGCAGGGAGAGCCGATGACTGAATAATCATACATGGCTAAGGCCATGAAGGAAAGGTCTAGGGCAGTGGCTCTCAACCTGTGGTTGCAACCCCTTTGTGTGTCAAATGACCTTTTCATGGGGTTCACCGAAAGCCATTGGAAAGCACAGATATGTATATTACGATTCATAACAATAGAAAATTACAGTTATGAAGTAGCAATGAAGTAATTTTATGGTTGGGGGGGGGTCACCCCAACATGAGGAACTGAATTAAAGGGTTGTAGCATTAGGAAGGTTGAGAAGCAGCAGTCTAAATATTCCTCTAGGGTGCTCTGAGTAGATGGGTAGATAGGAGCCTGACCTAAAGTTAGAGGTCACAGATACCCTAAGGCCCCTTACCATAAGCAAGAGATAGAGGAACTGAGAGCCAAGCTGAGGTTAATGAAGGGACAGCCAGTGTGGGACTCAGATGAGGTAAAACTTGATAGAGTGCATCTTACTGGTAACAAGAGATTGACAGCATCCTCCAGCCTGACACATGTGTGCATGTGTGTGCATTAGGTATGTGCATCTACCTGCTGCTCCAGACTTTAACCCTGAGGTTATTGATTGGAGGGGATGGGTGGCGAGGGTAAAAAGCTTAAAGGAGCTGATGCTCACCAAGAGGAGCAGAGGCATCTCAGTAGAGAACATCTGAGAGGAGTAGAGACATTTCAGTAGTGAATACCGAGAGGAGCGGAGGCATCTCAGTAGTGAGCAAACTGTGCAAGTGTGTTAGTGCATCCAGGTGGACTCTCTCTTGCTTGCAGATGCCACACTAAGGATTCTGATCTTTATACTGAGAGCAAAGGGAAATGAGCCTGGGATTCTAGCACAGGAGTATTGTCATCAGAGGTGTGCGGTAAAGGATCCCACTGGCTTCTGTGCTCCAGACAGATGGAGGCTGCAGAGGGAGCAGTAGGAGGGCCAGTCACAGGACTGCTGCAGTAGTTGTGAAGAGCATTGTTGGATAAAAGTCATGGCTAAGGAGAAGAAACAGAGCTAATGAGCCTGCATCATGAACTGGAATGGGGGAGGGACTTCCGGAATGACCCTGGGCACCTTCCGTGGACACCAGGTATTCACACAGTGTGTGAATGATAAAGTCACAAGTGGAGTAGTGTAGGGCTTGGTGACAGTGGAGACAGCCAGCAGCAGGGGCTTTTTGAGGCTGAAACTCAGAGGGGAAGGGAAGGTGACCTGAGACAGGTCCCCACAAGTAACTCATTCTGACACCATGAAAAGGGGTCTAAGGTGTTCAGAATATAATCTCACTGTTTGTAGAGTTTACTGAGCAGCAACTGTGTGCCATCTTCCATTCTAAGTGCTGCACATGCCTGACAGAATGTGCAAACTGAGCCCTATACGCTAGTAAAGGAAAGAGACAACAGGCAAGGAAATGCGCTAATCGATATCCTTACCCAACCATAGATACCTGGGAGGCAAAGCCTGCTGTAGGCGTGTTCTCAGGGAGATAACTTTTGAGATGCCTGGCCAAAAAAGGGGAGATAGATACTGGTGGTTCCTGGGATAGCATTCCTAAAAGAGGTGGAAAGTGTGAGAGGCCCTGAGGCAGGAAGTTCTTCTCTCACCAGGGAGCAGCGAGCAGCACAGTGTGACTGGGTGGTATGCATGGACCATGCTCCCACCATATACCCAGCTTCAGCGTCATCCAGAACTCACTCTATAGAATCAAATGTCATAGTGTGGAGACGATGTTGATTAAAAATAGACTGTAGGAGGAGCTGACTCGCTGTTCGCTCTGCCAGCTAGCCACGTGAAAAGAAGCAAGCTGTCGGAACAACCCATGCTCTCTCCTAGAGCGGTCAGGTCAACGTGGTATCACCGGGGACCCATGCTCTGGAACTGAAACAGCAAAAGGCCTTCTGTGGTGGCCACAGTAGTGTGCCTGTAACCCCATTGCTGAGCGCTTCTGGTGGTCATGTACTAAGAAACTAGGAATGGGTAAAATCTGCTCTCAAAGAACTGAGGCAGGAAGCCTACCTGCCGCCGGGAGGACACAGACACAGCATTCTCCTGGCCGCACAGGAGCCAGAAGAGATTTTGATGTCTGCCACGCTTGCTTCCTGAGCTGTTGTGACATGTCTAGTGTGGGCCAGTGACAGGTGACTGAGCCCCACAACATATCTTTCATTGCTTGTGAAGCAAGGGACTGCAGAGGAGGAGTGCAAGGGTCCTGGTGGCATGCTGGGGGTTGGGGGTGACATGCAGCGAAAGAGGGTGAAGAGGCAGCCCTCCAGTCTGGGAGGCTGGCTCTAGATCATCACAGACAGCCTGCTATTGTTGTCTGTTATCTGTGATATTAGAGCTCCTGGCAAGTATAGAATGGTATTAAACCACATGGTTCCAAATTCTGCTTATACTCGACCGTCACACAGAGAACCCACTAGCTGTTTAAGCCTTGCCACCCAGGTGCAGCTCTGGGTAGTGGTGAGGGGGAGAGACTGTATTGTTCTACATCTGTGAGAGCCTGGCTGTCATCAAAGGAAGAGAAGTAGGCAATGCAAAGTCCCCGCCTGTGTGCTGGAGCCTGTGGCGCTTC